CCTGGACTAGACCTTCCTGTTTGAGGCTTTGGGTCATCGCTGGGATAACCACTGTGCAGTATCAGGCTCAGTTTTTGTTGTTGGTGTTTTTCCATTGAGATGGAGTCTCTCAGACTTTTCTACCCAGGCTGGCCTTGAACCTTGAATCTCCCATTCTCAGCCTCCTAAGTAGCTAAGATGACAGGTGTGAGATATTGGCATGGCTCCTGGCACCAGTTCTTAAGAGAAAATGAAGATTGGTGCCTCTTGATTTGCATGATGGAGTCTCACAGGTCAGATGAGCAATGAGTCCGCTTTGGACATCAGCTCAGGCCTGAGGCCACAGGAAGAGACGGAGAAGTTCTTTTTGATTGCAGTTCTCATAATGAATGTCAAGTAATACAGTCAGGAAAAAATGGAGGCAGAACAGCCATGCGGGAGGAACAGGGAAATGGCGAGCCGAGCATTAGTAGAACAGTATCCACACAGGGGGAACAGCAGGGGCACCAGGAGCATCAGCTTCCACAGACCAAAGCAGAGCTAAGCCCAGCCCTCCGCGCCCCCCGCCCCGCCCATCTCCCCATTTCATGGCTTGCATTTTACTTAAGATCTGAAGCAAAAAGATCATTGCTTTCATATTCAAACAAACTCAGGAAGCCATGAGCTGCTGCTACCGGTCCACGGCCTGGCTGGCCTCCAGCTCCCACTGCAGCTGCCTCCTCCCAGGCCTTTGTATCTGTGTCCATGCTGAGCCCTATCTGTGCAGCCCCAGACCACGTGCCATGGAGCTAGGCTTCCCTGAGCTGCCGCCCTTGAACTCTGGAGCTCTTTATCAGCCCTGGTTTGCCAGAGGTCTGCCCCCAGCTGTCTCAAGTCCTCACTAGTGGGTAGTCAGGAGGGTGTTCCGCCTGCTGGTGCCACCTGCCGAGCATTCTGCATTGGGACAGGATCTCAGTGAACACTTGAAAAAAAAAAGCATGTGGAAGTCTTGCACACGGCTCAAACCCATCATGCTGGCTACGCAGGAGACTGAGAGCTGAGGAGATGAGTTCAAGCTGGGGCAGAAAAGTCTGTGAGACTTTGATCTCCAATGAACCAGCAAAACATCAAAGTAGAGGTGTGGTTCAAGTAGGAGAGCACCAGCCGTAAGTGAAAAAGCTAAGCAGAGAATTCCAGGCCCTGAGTTCAAGCCCCAGTACTGGCACGAGCACATACACACACACACACACACACACACACACACACACACACACACACACACACACACACAGAATGAATGTATGAAAAGGCATTATCTTTGGTAGAGGATGCAACCAATCCAATTTTTCCTTCCTTCCTTCCCTCCCTCCCTCTCTCCCTCACCTCCTTCCTTCCTTCCTTCCTTTCCTTCCTCCCTCTCTTCCTTCTTTATTTTCTTTCTTTGGGGGATACGTGCTGGTACTCATGAGCCTTGAACATGCTCGGCAAGTGCTCTACTATGGGGCTATCTCCAGCCCTGAGTTTCCTTCTCTTACTCTACGATTTGCAGTGCTGAGGAGGGAAGCCAGGGCCTTGCACATGTCCAGCAAGTGCTCCACCACTGAGCTCCTCTCCCCAGCCTCCACTGCGGTTGAGAAGTGAAAAATTAAGACAGGGCTGAAATCCCCGTCTTCAGACACATCCCTGGTGAACGGGGCTCATTCAAACAGGAGGTGTCTCAGACGGCTCTGACACTAAAGAGAAGCCATTTTGGTGGGTGATTGTCATTTGCCCCTATTTCCAGTGCACTGTTGATAGATTGAGTCGGCCCCTGGCCTTTCCAGCAGCCATGCAGGCCCCACGCCAATTCCCCTGTGGATATTGAAAATGAAAATAGAGCCATCGAATAACTCCATTAAAGGATTGTGGTATGTCACTTTAAAGAGCAGGTGTCACTGGTGTAGAGAGAGTGAGACGTTGTGAACGGTCCTAGCCCTGTAGTTCAGAACTGTGCAGCGGCCCAAGGCCACATAAGGCGAATCTTGGGCTGTCTTGGCATGGTGCTCTGATTTAGGGTCTCCTCAAATAGGTACGGTGTCTGGGAGACAGTGGGAGTGGGGGGGGGTCACCTGCCATCCCTTTTGCTCTGTGAGAAGTGTTGAGGGAGCCCAGGCCAGCCTCCACTAGACTGGGTCCAACACTGGCCCTCATTGCCTTTGGGGCTTTAAGCCGAACAGGTACGCTACTCTGCACAGTATTTCCCCTCGTTTTGCAATAGAAAAGACTCGACTTCTCTGTATACTGCTTTCAGACTTGAATACCCAGTGCCAGTGCAAAGCAGGGCCCTTAATTGTCTCCCTGTACCTGCGGAGGAAGCTGGCAGAGTACTTACCCAGCATGCAGGGCCCTGGGTGTGATCCCTGGTATCATAAACAAATATAACAAAACAACAACAACAATAATAATTGATGATGATGATGATGATGATAAGCAGAAGCAGCAACTCTGGGCCTCTCAGGAGCCCAAGAATTATTTGTATTCGATAAAACTTGGCCTGGACAAGACAATGAGCTGTCTTTGATTTTTTCCCATGGCTCATTTCCAAAGCTAAAACCAAAACAAAACAAAAAAAACTAGGAAAAAGAAAAAAAAGAATAGTCCCCTGTTTTGATCCCCAGTACTATAAAATAAATAATAACCACAACAGTGATGATGATGATGATAATAATAATAATAACACTAGAACGGCCCCTCTGTTGCTGCCCACGCAGGGCGTTTCAGTTCTGCTCCGTGAGGCTCTGCAGACTCCTGTCACGCTGCTGACTTCCCTCTTCCACCCTCTGTGCCTAAAATACTTTTACCCAGTTTCTGGGTCATGCTTGATCCCTGCTTGAACTGCATGGATCGGTGTACGGATTCTGTCTAGACTGACACACAACCTGCCTGGTTGTTTTGTGCTGGTACTGGGTCTTGAACTCATGGCCTGGCCACTGTGCCTGAGCTTTTTGCTGGTGCTCTACCACTTGAGCTACAACTCGGCTTCTAGCTTTTTGCTGGTTCATCGGCGTCTCACAGACTTCCCTGCCAGAGAGGCTTTGATCCTCCGGATCCTCAGATCTCAGCCTTCTGAGTAGTAGCTAGAATTACAGGTGTGAGCCACCAGCACCTGGTTCCATCTTATTTTCTTGAAAAGATGAAAACAGATTTGCAAGATTGCAACTTGTCAATTCTCCATGAAAACTCTGTTGTTTATGGATAGGTCTTCATCCCTGGCTGTCTCCCAGCTAGAGACAAACAGGAGAGCCTCTCTTCCCCCAGAGCCACCCTCCTCCCTGCCCCCTCCTTCCCATCCCCTCCTCCTCCCCACCCCCACTCCTCCTGGCCCCCTTGGAGTCTTCCCATTACAGGGTCGTGATTGACGTGGCCCACACTCAGGACTCCTGGACCTCTGTGTTCAAGTACCTCCTGTCAACAGCACCCAAGAAGCCCGCACGCCTTTGCCTGACCTTGCTTTCCCTTCCAGTCTATTTATTCCTTTCCTTTCACAGCGAGATGGCTCGCTTCCTCTTTCTTCCTCGTGCCCCATGGGTTGGCAGTCCAGCTTCCTGTTCTGTCACTCTATTGAAATTGAATCCTAAGAAGTCAACTGTGGTGTCCTTGAGCCCCAAACCACAGACGCTTTTGTTTCAGCTTTGCTTTTCTTATTTTCTTGGCAGCATCCACTTTCTCTCCCTTCCTCTGATGCATTGTGTGTGTGTGTGTGTGTGTGTGTGTGTGTGTGTGCGCGCGCGCGCATGGCTGTGGCATCGCTGGGCTTCAGTCAGGACTTGGGTGTTGTCCCATTGCTCCCACCCACCACACACATACACTTGAAGGCTGGTGTTCTACTATTTGAGCCGCAGCTCCACTTCTGGCTTATTTCTTTATTTATTCTGGTGGTTAATTGGAGATAAGAGTTTCATGGACTCTTCCTCCCTGGGTTGGCTTTGAACTGCAGTCCTTAGACCTCAGCCTCCTGAGTAGCTAGGATGACAGGTGTGAGCCTGTACTTCTTTGGTATATTTTTACCCACTTATTTCCTAACTAGATTTTCCAAACTGCTCCATTGCACGGCTGTGGATGAGGAACCCAAACACCAGCAGTATACTTGTCACTAATTGACTAAATAATCTTGGCAAAGTAGTCTCTCTGTGCCTCAGTTTCCCCAACTTTGGAATGGGTCTGGTAGGAAGCGGTCTTATCTCAGTTTGTTGTAAGGAGTGATGGGAGCATCCATGTGATGTGAATGCAATGTCAATGTCAGGCACACAGAAGATGCTATTTGTTACCAGTACAACAAGTCACTGTCTTTGGAGACATTTTCTTTTAAGACATATTGCTTCCATTGCCCAACACAGAGCTAGACAATAAATAATTATCCCTAGTTAGACATTTACAGGGCTCAGAGAGCCCAGGGAAGGAAGGAAGATGGAAATCTGGCTTTTCTCTCCATACCATGACTTGGATTCAAGGCCTTTCACTCACTAGGCCTTTTGCTTAAGGCTGGTGCTCTACCATTTGAGCCATGCTTCTAGCCTGACCTTTTGCTGGTGATGTTGGAGTTAAAGCCTTGAGGACTCTTCTGCCCAGAATTGGCTTCGAACCACGATCCCTTTGATCTCAACCTCCTGTGCAGCCAGGATTATAGGTGTGAGCCAACAGTGACCAACTTCCAGCTTTTTTCTATATTGTTGTTGTTTTTCACCAAACCATTTAAGTGGTTGAGAATTTAAACCGCTCCTTTCTGGATGTATCCTTCTTGTTGGCCAGGAAGGGACGACAAGGGCTCAAACTCTAGCTGTGGAGGGTGACAATCCCAGCGAGGTCTGCTTGGCTTCGAACACGAGGTCCCATCCGCGGCTTACACGCGGCTCTCCGCGGGGAATACGGTCTTCTGTCCCCAGGAGGCTGCGGCCCTGGAAGCCGAGTCCTGGCGCCATGGCGCCATCTCGTGGCCGCTCTGGGGTACGACGCGGGCAGCGCCGTGTTCTACGGTGTGGGCAAAGGTCCTCAGCGCTGCGTCCCTTTCTGGAGAAAAGTGTGAGTGGGGTTGGCCTGGAGGGAAGAATAAGGGGAAGGCCCTGTAAGGTGTGTGTGTGTGTGTGCACGTATGTGTGTGTGAGAGTAGATCCCTCAGCATAGTGCGGGCACGGGAATCTTCTGCTCCTCTACAAGATCCTTCTCCCTGGAGGGCAATTCCCTCCGGACCCGCGCTGCCCCGCCCCTCCCCCATTTTGGACTCAATTTCCAGTGCTGTGCACGGAGGCAGTTTTCTAGAAACACCTGTGTCGCCTTCTCATTCCCCCCTTTCGGATGTCAGGAAATCAGGGCTGGGAAGATTTAGCCGAGTCATCAGATTTGGCGCCCAGCTGAACAGCAGCCCTCCTCCCAGGACCAGCCCGCACCCCCCTGTCCTGTCCCGCAGCTGGCAGCCAGCACCGCGCAGGTAAGGGCCCCGCAGCCCGGGGCCATCCGCACCGCGGGGGTGGGGGGAAGTGGAGGCACCGTGGTTTGCCATTGTGTTGCTGAGGTCAGAGGGATTTAAACCCCCGGCGGAGGATGGGGTGCTAGGTGATCTTCTCTGAAGCGGATCTGATTTCTCTGTTCTCAGGCTGTGTGCCTTGATCGATAATTGTGCTATGGAGCACACGGTCAGCAAAGTTAGGCAAGTGTTGGATGCTTTGGACGGAAGCATCTGCAGGCTGGGTCAGCACCTAGGGTGTAAGCTCCCAACAGAGTGATGAAAGGAACAGACTGGGCCAGGTGTGGGTGGCCCTCACCGAGCTACTCAGGAGGCAGAGATGGGAGGATCACTGGTTTGAGGCCAAACATAACATGAAATAGACACGTTTGAAAGACCTCCGTGCCAACAGAAGAGCTGGGATGGTAGTGTGTCCCTGACCTCCCAGCTGCTACAGTGCAAAGCATACATAGGAGGATTGAGGTCTGGGAAGGCCAGGCAAAAATCAAGACCTTATCTCAAAAGTCACCGGAACTAAAAGAGATAAAGGCATGGCTTGAGTGGTAGAGCTCCTGTCTAGTTAGCATGAAGTCTTGAGTTCAAACTCCAGTATTACCTAAAAGAAAAGAATAGAATGTGGAATAGGGCAGCCTCCTCTTGTAATCTGAAGAGACTGAGGTAGGAGGATCAAACGTTGAAGGCTGCTGAGCGCTGGTGGCTCATACCTGTAATGCTGCTCATGAGGCTGAGATCAGAGATGGAGGCTCAAAGCCAGCCCGGGCACTGAGTTCAAGCCCCACAATCGACAAAAAAAGCTGAAGGCCATCTTGTGCGATTTAGAGCATCTCAAAATTTAAAAAAAAATACCAAAATTGCTGAGGATATAGTTCAGTGGTAGAACTGCTCCTTGCTCCTGTCCACAAAGGATAGATTTGGAGTCTTGAACTGCTCTCATTCACGGCTGTTTGACTAAATTTATTCGAAGCCCCCGCTTTTTTTTCTTCTAAAAGGAAGCAAATGAAACCTGCCTCTCAACATTAAGAATTCAATGAAATAGGGTAAAAGCTCTCTTATTTGGAATTCAGGCTGGCTGAAGTTTTAGAGCAAATGAAGAAGTTGTTTGAAGCTGAGAATCATAAAAGATAATACATACATCAAATATTTTGTGTTGAAATATAACATCTCCCTATCCGACTTCTGGGCATGGCTTTTTTTCTCTGAACATATATCTCCTAGTTGGCTTTTAAGTTGTTTTCCTTACAATAAGCCACACATCTTGTCTTACCTGTGGGCATTAGTTTTGCTTGCTTTAAACAGAGTAAGAATTTACACACATGTGATGTCACTTAAAGAAACATTCCAAGTCCAAAAATTATTCCAAGCCAGTCCTTGGTGGCTCATGCTTGTAATCCTAGCTATGCAGAAAGTGGATATCCAGAGGATCATGTTTCTAAGCCAGACTGAGCAGAAAAATCATGAGATTTTGATCTCCAAGTTAACAAGCAAAAATTTGGGCTGGGTGTTTGGCTCCAGCGGTAGAATACCAGCTGAACACATAAGCTGAGAGAGTACAAGACACTGAATTCAAACCTGGTACCGGGGTGGGGGGGGGGGAGGGGGGGAGGAAAGAGGAAGGGGAGGTGAAAAGAGAGGGAGGGGAGAGATCATTCCAAATTTCCAGGATTGTGTTTATCCAAGATTGTGTTTATATGTTTAGCATTCCATGTGCTTTCTGAAAAACAACAACCTTTCTCTGTATTCTTAGTCTCTGAGTTCTGTTTTCTCAGACTAGGTAATATTTAACTGCATATCATGGTTACTGGGCTGATGGAGCTGGGTGGTAGAACCCTTGCCTAGCATTGCAGGAGCCTTGCATTCCATCAGTCAACCCAGGGGCCGTCAGTCTCCCAGACACAATCCCAGGTCCAGCACCTCCTGCCGAGCGTGTCACATTGGGGCAGCCAGGCCCGGCGTGTGTGTGCTGTCAGCACAGCAGCAGCTGGTGCAGGTGCAGCGCTTAACCTGCCACTGGGTACACTGATGTCATCTCACATGGCTTTCCCTGTGCTGTGGCGATAGTGTATAACCCACAGCCTGACATAGAAAATGCCCCTCTCATAACTGATAGCAATTTTTGGAATTATTATTGGCCCTATGTCCGCATTCGAAGGCTGTTTCTTCCCTCATTTTGCAGATGAGAAAAGATCTGAATGTGTATAATTTGGGCCTTACTGAATTTGTACCAAATAAGAAAAGGATTAGTGATGAGAAACCTAGTATTTTGAGCCCAGAAGGATTTGCATCGGCAACTCCTGCCATAAAGGACACACGAAGTCACTGTAAACTTACATCTTTTCTTTGGAACACGGTAGGACTGTACTGTGTTCTTCCAGGGATGGGGCTGGGGAAAGCCGGAAGCCAGGGCCTGAGCAGAAGAGAACCCATCAACCATTGTGCACGAGTGTGTGTGTGTGTGTGCGTGTGTGCGTGTGTGTGTGTGGCACCTCCACACTTTCCTGCTCATTATAAAGTTGTCTACCAAGCTTGTAGCAATGGCACACACACCTGTAATCCTAGCTACTTGGGAGGCAGAGGGAGGGAGGATCATGGCTTGAGTTCAGCGGAAAGTCAAGAGCCCCCATCTCAGGTGCTCTGTGCCTGTCCCCCCAGCTATGTGAGAAACTGATGGAGGAGGCTCCTGATCCAGGCTGGTCAGGACAAAATGGAAGACCCTGTCCCCCAGGTAACTAAAACCAAAGGGCTCCAGGAGGTGGCACAAGGAAAAGCAAAGCCCCAGTATCACCACCAAAAACCCTTCCCCCCCAAAAAAGGAATATTCAGGCCCCACAGTCCCTGACATTCTGGTCAAGTAGTTCTGGGGCAGGCTTAAGAGTCTATAACATGTATCAGGGGTGCTGATATAAGAGAGCCCTCCCACGAAAAACAACACGAAAAACCTTGTGAGAGTTTTTGTTTCATTTACATCAAAGACCAGGCTGAGCTCTGAGAGGTAATCAGTGCGGACAATGGAGATCACAGTCCTCCAGTTTTTAATCTTGTGATGGGAGGTTGGGAGGTGGTGCAAGAACAGATGGTGAAGATGGAGAGAGATGGAGATGGAGCCTCTGTGTGTGTGTGTGTGTGTGTGTGTGTGTGTGTGTGTGTGAGTGTGTAGCTGCTTAGGCTGAATTTTCCATGAGGAGTGGTTCAGCGCTTCTTGACTTTGCCCTGCTGGAGAGCCTATCATGATTTTGAATTCTAGATCTGCTTATTAAGATTGCTGTGACTGGACTGGGAATGTAGCTTAGTGGTAGAGTGCTTGCCTAGCATGCATGAAGCCTGGCTTGGATTCCTCAGTACCACATAAACAGAAAAAGCCAGAAGTGGTGCTGTGGCTCAAGTAGCAAAGTGCTAGCCTTGAGCAAAAGAAGCTCAGGGACGGTGCCCCTGAGATCAAGTCCCAGGACCAGAGAGAGAGAGAAAGAAAGAAAGGAAGAAAGAAAGAAAGAAAGAAAGAAAGAAAGAAAGAAAGAAAGAAAGAAAGAAAGAAAGAAAGGATGGAAGGAAGGAAGGAAGAAAGAAAGAAAGGAAGAAAGAAAGAAAGGAAGGAAGGAAGAAAGGAAGGAAGGAGGAAAAGAAGGAAGGAAGAAAGAAAGAGAGAGAAGGAAGAAAGAAAGAGAGGAAGAAAGAAAGAGAAGGAAGAAAAGAAGGAAGGAAGGAAAGAAAGAAAAGAAAGAGAAAGAAAGAAGGAAAGTAAAGAAAGAAAGGGAAAACAAGGAAGCAAGCCATTCTCCCCAGCCAAGAGCAGCTCCAGGACTCATTTCTTCTGCCTTGGAGCAGAGATGCCAGCTGTTCTCCAGTGAGCCTGGAGGTTGGGGGGAAGGAGTGTCATCTTACAAGGAGAACATGGCTGAAACCGTCTAGGGCAATGGGGGTTGGGGAGATGGCAGGAAAACAAGATCCCTTACCCACCTCCAGATCACAGGGAGTTAAGAGGGCCAAAGGGCAGCTGTTTCAAGAGATCTGGGTTCCGGCAGGCAGGAACATGGCCCAGTTTCCCCAGGACTTTCTTGACATTAGCACTGAAAGTCTGGGGTCCCAGGATCCACTCCCCTCCAGCTTGGATAACCAAGGCTTGGATAAAACAAGTCACCCTAGTTCAGTGACTGCCCATTGGATTGCTGATACCACCTCCAAAGTCAATGGCAGCCTTGATCTGGGCAGCCAGGGTGCTGGGTGTTGAATTCTAGCTGCTATTCTCCAAGGTTTGCCTTTGATCACCACTGACTTTTTCTGTGACTGTCCTATCAGCAAAGTACAAGAAATCACCCTAACGACCAAATTCAGCACCGGTAGCCTTCACATTCGGACCCTAGCCTGGTGCTTTGTGTAGCAATGTCTGGTTTGTGGCTCATATGATGATTCTGATTTGGGATTTTTTTTTTTTTTAGTTCCATGGACAACTCACAGAGAATCCTGGACCAGCCCCTTCCCATCCCAACTTCCCAGCCCAAGAAGAAAAGAACACCGATTCTGTCCTTCTTTTCTAAGGTTTGAAACAAAGTGTAATGAACAAATGTGCTTTCCTGGGAGTCCTGCAGGACCAGTGTCTACCCAATTGCAGGTGCCTGCAGCACCGAGGCTGGGGCTGGTGGCTCATGTCTATAATCCTAGACTTTCAACAGGCTGAGATTTGAGGATCCTGGTTCAAAACCATCCTGGGCAGACACATCTGAGAGACTCCTATCTCTGATTAATCAGCAAAAAAAAAAAAAAAAAAGGCAAAAGTTGGAGATGTAAGTCAAATGGTAGAACACCATCATTGATTAAAAAAAAAAAGCTGAGAGAGAATGTGATATCTTGAGTTTAAACACTGGCAGAGAGGCTAGGCACCAATGGCTTACACCTGTAATCCTAGCTACTCAGGAGGCTGAGATCTGAGGATCACGGTTCAAAGCCAGCCTGGGGAAGAAAGTCCGTGAAACTCTTATTTCCAATAAACCACTAGAAAACCAGAAGTGGCTCCGTGGCTCAAGTGGTAGAGCGCTCGCCTTGAGCTGAAGAGCTGAGGGACAGCGCCCAGGCCCAGAGTTCAAGCCTCACGACCAACAACAAAATCAAACAAACAAAAACAAAACACTGGCAGAGAAATAGCCAGATCAGGATCCAGTGCTATACCCCTTCTTACTAAAGATGGGGTGTGTTGGTAGTGGCTTTTCGCTTATCTGGGTCTTCATGGTCTTGAGTCCATCTCTAGTATGGGTTGCTGTGTTCTATGTGTTGGAGAACACCAGGGCCTTCCTGGAGACCGAGATCATTGCTCACAAGGACCGTGGCTGGCCCCATCTCTTGCTGTGCGGTGGCTTAGATAGAGTTCAGTCTTTGAAGAACACATTTGTGCTTCCAACACACTATGTTTCCCCATGTGTGCTGTTTATGCATTTCTCTTCGGGAGCTCGGTGGCTCAGATGTGTGCAATCTCTAGAGGTGGGACCACCTTTAAGTGCCTTGAAATGGTTGTGGCTGTATAGCACACGTGTGTGGCTCTGCTCTGCCAGTGCTGTCACATTCATTCTATTCGGTGGCTGTGGAAGATGATGGCTGAGAATGGACGCTTGGGATTACCATGGTGGTTAGCTACAAAGAGGAACAGAAAAACGAGAGGGAAGAAACAAGGGATCTCTTTGCTTTGAGTTGGGATGAGCACTGTGAAAGGATTCATATTTTCAGCCTCTATCAGCCCCTTAGAGTGTCCTCCATCTTCCTAAGGGTGTATATGTGGGGGAAGAGGTCCTGGGGCTTGAACTCAGGGCCTGGACACTGTCCCGGAGGTTTTTGTTTTACTCAAGGCTAGCGTGCTACCACTTGAGTCACATCTCTCTACTTGTTGGTCTTTGATGGTTAATTAGAGATGGATGTCATGGACTTTCTCACTAGGGCTGCCTTCAAACTGTGATCCTCAGATCTCAGCCTCCTGAGTAGCTAGGATCACAGGCGTGAGCCACCAGCGCCCAGCTCTTCCCAAATTTTATCTCACTCATTGTAATTATAGAGCATCTCTTCCCATAATTCCCCCAGCTCCACCTTAACACTAGCCCTGAAGTCATTTTCCCCTAATCCTTTGCCTTTATCAATTCCTTTATGATGTGCATCAAGTAATGTATCTTTCCAATGAAAATCAGGCATCCTTAGACACTGACAGGGTAGTTCAGTGGTCAAGTGTGGGCTTAGCATACATAAAGTTCTGGGTTTGATCCTCAGCACCACACACACACACACACACACTTTTAGTGATAGGATTTTTCTTCAAGCGAAGGAAGATGTGGCAGGGCTTGGGTTCAGATTATGACTCTGACCTCTCCCAAATTAAGACATTATTGACTTCCCTTCAGGTCTCTTGGAAACTGCGATTCCAGAATCAGGAGCCTTTGAAGAATGCGTTTTTCACACTGGCAGAGAGAGCTCGTGATCCCAATGCCAAAAAGCGCCATCTGGCAATGAGAGGCCTGGGCGCCATGGCTTGCGAAGCCCCAGACCAGGTAGTGGAGGGAGGCGGAGCGCAGCGGGGCCTTCCTGACCCTCCCCGGCCATAATCTCAGGTGGAACCTAGCTTCCAGGAACAGCGCATGGGTAGAACTTCACAGCATCTATGGGTCAAGGATGAGATGCCCCATGTTAGCCCAATCCTGTTCCTTCCTGCGGCCCAGGGTCCTCCACCAAGGTCGTCAGGCAGACATGGGCTTCTCCAGTTATGGGCCTGAGGTCCCTTCTTTCTGGCAGACTGCTCACACGGGTTGGCTGCAGCCAAGTCTGATACCAGGTGAAGAAGTCACAAGAAAGACATGAATTTTGTCAGACTCTGTTAGTGTGGAAGTGAGTCCCAGGGTCTGTCCACACTGGAGAAGAGCAGAGGGGAGAGCATGTGACTCAGGGTTGCATGGGGCCATCTTTCCCCTGGAGTATTAGCTGTGGAAAACGACGACGGTGGACACTGCCCTCCTGGGGGAGTCGAAGAGCCTTGCTCACAATTTACATTTGTTTAGTAAGAGACATTTTGTCACATTGCTTCCATTAGCATCTGCCAATGTCAGAACCATCTCATGGTCTTGCTATTATACATAAGGGACTTAATGCTCCAGGCCCTTGGATGACCTTGGCCTGTCCATTTCCTTGAAATGCCCGCCCAACTCACCTGCCCAGACCCCACATTCCAGGTTACCCTCTCATAAAAGACCTAGCTGGGCTCTCAAGTTGGGTTTAGAGCACCATTTGTGTTTTGATGAGAGTTGGTGGGAGGTCCTAAAGATGCTGGTCTCCTGGTCCTAGACTTGCTTTATCAAAACCCAGGAGTAGGGCTGGGAAGGTGACTCAGTGGTAGAGCACTTGCCTTGCATGCATGAGGCCCTGGGTTCCATTCCTCAGCACCACATAAGCAGAAATAGCCAGAAGTGGTTCAAGTGGCTCAAGTGGTAGAGCGCTAGCCATGAGCTGAAGAGCGTCGAGGCCCAGAGTTCAAGCCCCACTACCGACCAAAACCCCCCCCCCCAAAACAAAAAACCACAAGAAGCCATTCTTAGGCTACGAATGGTTTTGTTCACAGGTGAGGAAGTACAAGAAAATGATGCTCGACCTGCTGGTGTATGGACTGTACGACCCCGTGAGTTTGGAAGTCATCTACGAGAGTGTGAAGGCCCTGACCATCATCCTGGGAAAGATCCAGGGCAAATGTCTGGGCTCCTTCTTCATAGACATCACCCTGCAGACCCGGACTCTACTAGATGATGTGAGTGAGATGATCACTAAAATTCTAGAGGATTCAGGTCACGTGGGCTGGGAAACGAGAGGCCCCACATAGAATGCTGCTTCGGGACCTCTTACCATGTTCCATACACCAGGCTGGCACTTTATACTGACAATCTCATCACCCTGGGAAGTGGCTACGGGGGTTCACTGTATGTGTGTCATCACCTGGGCCCACCCCAGGGTCCCAGAGTCTGTAAATGGCCCTACAAGCAGACTCTCTGGATTCAGCGTCTGCTCTATTAACTGCTGAATGACAAGACCAGTTGAGCAGGAAGTGCGTGGGTTAGTGTTTAGTCTGGGACCATGAGGATTGGGGGTTTGCAGTTGCAATCTAATGCATCGCCCTGCCACTGTTCTCTCTGTTCTGTCTGTCTCTGTGTTTACCCCTAGAACAGCTCGCTCCAGCTCCTCATCTCCTCAATCTCCGTGGAGCCACAGGGCCCGAGCGGGATGAATGGATGAAAGCTGTTGAGATTATGAAAGGCAGGGCTGATCAGAAGCTGCTAGACTTCCTTCCTGTCCTCCAGAAACCGATTTTTCTCTTTTAAATGTCCACCTTTCATCTTTGGGGAGAGGACAGGAAGGTGTCCACCAGGCCATCTGGGAATGCCACCAAATGCCTGGAGGACTTGTCCTTACACCTCTCCGGAATGTCAGGTGAACATCAGGCCTGAATGACTAGTTTCAGCCACTTTTTAAAACCTACTTGCCTGTGATTAATTAATTAATTGGTTAATGAATATCTGCAGAGATTCAGGTTTAAATTCAGAATCAGGGTGCTGTCCTTAGTTTTTTTGTTTTTTTAACCTTGTCAAGGCTGGTACTCTACCACTTGAGCCACAGCTCTGCTTCTGGCTTTTTGGCTGATTAATTGGAGATAAGAGTCTCACCGATTTTGTCTGCCTGGGCTGGCTTTGAACTGTGATCCTTAGATCTCAGCCTCCTGAGTAATGAGGAGTATAGGGGTAAGCCACCAGTGTTTTTTGTTTGTTTGTTTTGTTTTTGGTTGTTGTTGCTTTTTGATTTAATTAGAGCCTGTAGAACAAGGAATTTCTCGGGCAGGGCTGTTAGCCCCTCACTGAGCCTGCTTCAGCTGTGCTTACCATGTATGGTCCACCGGATGCCTGTAACCTGCATTCCTGTCATCTGCAGTCCCGTGCATGGCTGAACTAAGGGAGGGCTTTGAAGGGAGCAAGCTCTCTCTCACAGTGTTAGCTGAGTTGTACATACACATAAGCACTTGACAGCACAATGAACAAAGTGCAGCCTGGAGGCAGATTCTGTATGTGTACATATGCTAAAAGTATTGCAGATACTTCACACATTAAACAGCGGGCCTCAGTCCTGCCGAGTCTCTGTGATCCCAGCTCTACATGCTTTTCTCCTAACAGAGGAGGCCCTCACCAGCCCTGTTTCCTCTGGCTTGCCTGGTGCTGCGTTGGACCAGGAAACAATGACAGAAAATCTATGTAGCAAGTCAGGAAACCAGCTTCCTGTGCTGCCTATCTGTCTGATAAGGAGATGCTGGACTAGCTGCTGAAGTGCCCTGGTCTTTAGTCTCTATTGGGGGGCAGGGTGGAGAAGAGAGATAAGATAAATCAGTGGAAGAGAATGAGAGGGTGGAACCCAAGGCCTTGGGCTTAGGAACACACCAACCAATCAGACAAAAGCTGGGAGAGTAGGGAGAGTTGTCAGGGGAAGAACTACAATCCTGATTTCCTTCGCAGATGAAATAAATTCAGACCAAAAAGTACAGAGAGGTGACCCGGTAAACATATTGGGACTAATAAATAAGGGGCTGCTCAAGTACATTCTAATACAAGTTAAAAAAAAAAACACCACCAACCTAACTCAATCCAATGTAGCCCAACTCAATTCAATCCAATCCAATCCAATGCAACCCAATTTAGCCCAACCCAATTCAATCCAATCCATTCAACCCAACCCAAACCTGAACAAACTCAAGCCAACTCAAACCAAACCCAAACAAGAACAAAACAAAAGAATGTCAATTCCTCCAGGTGCTGACAAAGGCTAAGCTCCTGGATTGGTTGGTAGGAGATCTGCGTTTCATAGCATCTGTGGAATGGAGTGAGTGTAAGGAGGAGGAAAAGCCCACCATGCCATGTATACTTAAGAATGATGATGCTGTTGTTTTGTTTGCTTAACCCACAGGACAATGATGGTGTGAGATACTCGGCCTTCGTTTTATTTGGGCAATTGGCCGCATTTGCTGGGAAGAAGTGGAAGAATTTCTTTACCAATCAGGTGAAGCAGACGCAAGATTCCCTCCTAACCCATTTACAGGATAGAAACCCTCACGTGGCTAAGGTAAGACTGTGATCCTCCAGCCAACTCATGAAGCTTCTGAGCTCTTCCTAGCGGGGAATGGTGCAGTCTTGCAGAGCTCAGATGTGGACGCCTCGGGTTCCTGTCAGTTAGAAATTGGAAGTTGTGCTGGGAATGGTGATGCTAATCTCAGTACTCAGGAGGAAGAGGCAGGAGGATTTTGAGTTAGGGGCCCCCCTGGGTTATATAGTAAGACCCTGTCTCAAAGAACCAAAACAAACAAAAGGATAGTCAGTAGGAAAGCCATGTGGATGGTGGAGAAGGTGCCTTCTCATGTAGCATCTCTTCCAGAGCCAGGGGGTTCACATCCATCCCTTCCCACTCCACCAGCCCAATCCAGCACCTGCCCGTGCTAGAAAAACTCAGGTTGGCATAGGATGGAGAGGGAGCAGGTTGGGTCAGTGGGGGAAGGGGTTGCAGCAGCTCATCTAAAAGGGAGAGACTTGTTCATCTGCAGAGCCTGGGGTAGATTTCTCATTCCTGGATTCTCCATACCTTGTGCAACTTCTGTGTTAGTCTCTGAGCATGATGAATCCTCACAGGGCTGGATCAACTGCAGCCTGTTTTGGACTGGGCTCGTAAAGGCTTCTGTGAAACTGTGTGTGTGTGTGTGTGTGTGTGTGTGAGAGAGAGAGAGAGAGAGAGAGAGAGAGAGAGAAAGAGAGAGAGAGAGAGAGAGAGAGAGGAGAAACAGAGACAGATAGAGGCAAAGGCAAAGACAGAAACAGAGGGACACAGAGAGAGAGAGAGAGACAGATTAAATTTAAGATTTAAGGGTATTACCTGGAAGGTTTAGGTTTGCAAACTGCCTCACCATAGATTGGGGTGCAGTCTTGCTGGTATTTTCTCCAGCGTAGGATGACAGTCTTCCTTTCCTCAGGCATGCAAAACAACTTTTCAAGCCTGTTCTCCATATCTGAGACTGAAGAAGGACCGCACCTTCCAAGGTGAAGAAGATCAAAGGAACTCCAAACTCTGCTGGCAGCTGGTGAGCAGGCCAGGGCAGGAGAGAATTCTCTTCCGATCTCTGACACAGAAGGTGGCCAAAGCCCACCAGGGCGTTACCCCCCCAGACACACAGTGAATGACTTTCCATGGTCATTGACCCCTCATGCACTGCCATGGTGAGATGCCTGGACGATTATGCACACGGCTCTTGGCAGATCTGGTTTAGGTTAGGAGTTGCTCGCAGGTGACACAGCCACCACCTTGCCTGCCTGTGCTTATCCTGGAGGCTTCCCCCGTCTTCCCCTCACGTGTACCTTTGCTAATGTCTTTCAGAGCCACTATCATCCAGAGCTCCTGCAGTTCTTCTACGCCAATAAAATACTCTAAGCGCAGAGAGGCAGGACAATGGTTCCACATAAGAATCTGCCAGGGACATCCGGGTCCCTCTGTCTGTTTTGTCTCGTTGGATATCCCTTTTGCTTGCTTTTTAGGATTGTATCAGAAAAGAAGGAGTCAGGTGGGCAAAGGAGGGGGAAAAATAACACCATGGAGTCGTGTACCCATACCCAGAATAAAATATTAGGTTTTTTTTTCTCATCTTTCAATTTCTCCCCACCCAAACTTGACCAGAAATTTCCTTTCTTTAAAAATATTGAAAATTCCTTGAAAAATATTGAAGATATTAAAAATATTGTACGTTCAATGCTTAATTCTCAGCCATTCTCTTCTTCAGTTCATCCCTGTGAGCTAACTTGGATTCCTAAGGCTTGATTTCTCATCGAAGATTTAATTTCTGATCAAACTTGACCGGGAGGTGCTCACTTTCTTTTAAAATGTTGAAAGCATCTGTGGTTCAACCCTTATTTCTCAGCCACTTTCTTCTTAAAAGTTTATTCCTGTTCTAGCTTAGCAGAATAATTATCATCTTAACGTTTTATTTGCTATTTATATTTGGCTATTTGCTGTCGATAGCTATTCTGGCCAAGATTTATTTCAAGCTGGCCAAGAGGGCAAACATATGGCTTGCAGTGATGATAGTTAGGAGTTTCTCATCGTCTTTAAAAGTCATTGCTTTCAAGATCATCTTAAAGAGAACCAACCAAAAAATGTCAATGTATTGAAATTTCTTTGATGGTAACTTATGGAATAAAAATAGTAAATAATGGGGCTGGGAAGGTGGCTCAGTGGTAGAGCGCTTGCCTTGCATGCCTGAGGCCCTGGGTTCGATTCCTCAGCACCACATAAGCAAAAAGAAAAAAGCCGGAAGTGGCGCTGTGGCTCAAGTGGTAGAGCGCTATCCTTGAGCTGAAGAGCTGAGGGACAGCGCCCAGGCCCAGAGTTCAGGCCCCACGACCGGACCCCAAAAAAATAGTAAGTAATATTTATTGATTATTATTGATTTATTAATATGTATCTACTATTTGTAGGAACTTTTTCTTTTTTTCTTTTTGGTCATGGGGCTCAAACTCAAGGCCTGGATACTGTTCCTGAGCTTTTTCACTCTAGGATAGTGCTCTACCACTTTGAGCTACATCATGACTTCTGGTTTTCTGGTGGTTATTTGGAGATAAAAGTCTCATGGACTTGCTTACCTCTGGCTTTGAACCATAATCCTTAGATCTCATCCTCCAGAGTAGCTAGCTATTGGTGCCTGGCTATCTAAGAACTCTTTACAAATGCTTTTAGAATTCACAGCAACCCAAGCACATAGATATTATTAACATTCTTATAAGATGAGAAAACTAAGGAGCAGTTAAGTAACTTGCCCAAGATAAATGGTGGAGCCAGAATTAAAATCCATAGGGGGGCTGGGGCTTGATGGTGCGTACTGTAACCCCAGCCACTCAGGAGGCAGAAATAGCAGGATCATGGTTCAAGAGTATTCTGGGCACAAGTTGGCTAGACCTTATCTCCAAAATAAGCAAGGCATAGTGGTTCATGCCTGTGGCTCCTGCTACTCAGGAGGTGGAAATTGGAGAATTGTGGTCTGAGTCTAGCACATGCAAAATCTCTAGACTCTATCTGAAAAATGAAAAGCAAAAAAAAAAAAAAAAGGCTCAAACGGTAGAGTGCTCACCCTTGGTGGGGGAGGGGAAGGTGGGGGGGTAGGGGGGGTTAGAAATGTGAATACCAAAACACACATGCAAACAGAAGTCTCCAGTGCCTCCTTCACCCCAGCAGCTACAGCTGCTACAGAAGCCACCAAGTCTCCACTTTCAGCCATTTCTGTGAGGTAAGCATGTGTTTGCATTAACCATTTATTGCCTGATATGCTCATGTATCACGACCAATCTTCATTATCTGAGGGGTTATAGCACTACTCCTTTTTGTTATTTAGAGCACATTTTATTCGTTTCTATAATAAAACACACATAGATAAGACTTTATATATTTAATAGTATGCTACCCCTGAGACAAAGGGGAAAAATAAGTCTAATGTTTCCAAACCAGGATGGCTATTCATTTCTGTAGGATCCAGTTCAACACAGTAATTTGAGATACTTTCTTCCAAAGTTAACAGCACAGCACAAAATTCTCTGAATTCAAATTATGCACATGCATATGCATGACATATATGAATATGTATATGCAAGGCAAGTGATAGCAGTCTGTTATGTATCCATCCCAGTAATTCCAAGGATATCCAACATTAAAAAATAAGGATTAAAAAACCAAACCTCAAGAACAGCCCAGTGATATTCCTCTTGTGCTATCCAGCACCATTATTTTTTCCTCAGCTTCTCAATGATCATCTGGAAAGAAACCTAGAGTAACATCTGGTTTTCAAAGCGGCTGTGCTGAAAGCAGGGATTGTAGAGCAGGCCTGTGGTGTTTTGTATTCACAGAGGTCTGACATGCTCTGAAGACTTGTTCCAGGGCCTAAAGGAGGGTAAGATGGATTTTTTTTTAAAAAAGCACCCTGTATTATTCATAAGATGCTTCAGCTTCTGCCGGGCGCTGCTGGCTCACACCTGTAATCCTAACCACTCAGGAGGCTGAGATCTGAAGATTGAGGGTCAAAGCCAGTAGGCAGAAAAAGGCCATGAGAATCTCATCTCTAATTAACCAGCAAAAAAAAAGCCAGAAGTGGAGATGTGGCTCAAGAGGTAGAATACCACCTGTGAACAGAAAAAGCTGAGGGAGAGCATGAGGCCCTGAGTTCAAGGCCCCCCCAACACATAGACACAAACACACACAAATGCAGGGCGGGGAGATGGAAGGAGGAAATAAGGGAGGGAGAGAGGGAAAAGGAAAAGCAGGGAAGAGAAAAGGAGAGAGAGAGAGAGAGAGAGTGTGTGTGTGTGTGTCTGAGATCTAACAAGTGTGTGACCAGGTTTGGTAAGAGTATGAACAGAGGCTTGTGGAATTCCAGTCAATTAACTGCTGGGGGAGAATGCTTCACACATTAAAAACACTACAGTGCATGAAATGACAGCTGTACAGGGTAGCCAGCAATTAGTTATGTAAGATATGTATTTATGCTTTTCTGAATTTCCCAAGCTTTCTGTAACAGACACGTATCACTTTGACAATAATAAAACATATGCAAGAGTGCCCTGTTAAAACAAAAGTGCTGGTGGCTCATGCCTGTCATCCTAGCTACTCAAGAGGCTGAGATCTGAGGATCGTGGTTCAAAGCCAGCAGGAAAAGTCTGTGAAATGCTTATCTCCAATGAACCACCAGAAAACTGAAAGTGGAGCTGTGGCTCAAAGTGGTAGAGGCTAGCTTTGAGCAGAAGAAAACTTAGTGACCGTGTTGGGGCCTGGAGTTAGAGCCCCATGACTGACAATAAATAAATAAAAATCAGTATAAGGAATGTACTTTGGGAGGCCCAGATGGCTATTGTTCACACCCAGTCCTGTGTGTGTGTGTGTGTGTGTGTGTTGCCTTTGTCCTTTAGTGACCATGTGTTTTATCCTGTTGGTCACAATAACCTGTGGGGTGACATGCTTTCCTGATAAGAAATAAAATAGATAATGGTGGAGTATCAGTGGGGGGGGGGGGGGTTGGGTCTTGGGTTTGAACTCAAGCCATCATGTTTGCTAGGTGAGGCTTTTTATCACTTGAGCCACACCCTTTTCTACCTTGTTAATTATTTTTTAACAGGATCTCCATTTTTGTTCTGGCCAGTCTGGACCATGAGCCGCCTGTTTACACATCCTGCATACTGGGATGACAGACATGCACCACTGTACCCTGCTTTTTGTTGAGATGGAGTCTCTTGAACTTAAAATTAATTTAATTAAAAAAGTATCTTTAAATAGTTGTACAAAGGAGTTGCCGTTTAACAAAACACCTTATGAATACTTTACATCTCGATGAATTCCCTTGAAAATTTTTTTTTTTTGCCAAGTCTGACCTCAAACTTTGCTCCTCTTGATAGTCAAGTACAATGAATCTGCCATCTGACAAGTTTGTTTGGTTTTTTAAAAAGTCTCTTCATGTAGTCCATGAAAGTCTGGAACTTGAGATTTCCTGCTTTTGTCTCTGATGTACAGACAGGTGGTGTGTGCCTTTAAAATTTTTTTATTTTGTCAGTCCTGGAGCTTGAGCTTGGCCTGGGCACTGTCCCTGAGCTTCTTTTGCTCAAGGCTAACACTCTGCTGCTTGAGCCACAGTGCCACTTCCTGCTTTTTCTGAGTGGTTTATGGGAGATAAGAGTCTCTCAAGCCCCTCTTCAGTCTCGTGAGTAGCTAGGATTACAGGCATCAGCCACTGACACCCAGCCCAGTATACCATTTTTAATCAATCCCCATTTCTTGAGGTTGGGAATTTTGACAAAAAATGAATAATAGAGCTGGAGGTGTGGTCCAGGTAGAGTATTTGTCTAGCAAGCAAGTACTAAACCCTGGGTTCAATTGCCAGCGTTACCAAAAAAAAGTCATAATTAAATGAGAATAGTGAGTTGTTTCCTACTGGATCCAGAAGTGTTTCCTGAATGCTGAGAGCAGATGCAGTGCTTTTATATTTTTCTGGAATAGGTTTGTTCATTCCAACCTAATATTTCCAACAGCTCCATTAATAACTCTGAGTTAGGCCTTTCAGGCAATCTCTTGTTAATAATTAACACCTCACCTTAGATTTCTGGATTGGACTGCTGTAATCACGTTTCTTTCAAGCTAATGAATTTCCTACAGTTTTTCACCAGCTAATGGTCCAAATGTCTCCTAGCAAGTAGAAAATGTTTTCAGAATTGTAGGTTACAAAGTTAAAAGGTCATTTTTTAAGCCACACTGCTAGAGGTACATGCTTCTGTCTCTCGTGCAGGAAGTGATGCAAAATCCAAAGCTTTCCAGCAAGGCGATAGAAAGAGGGGGGGGAGGGGAGAGAGAATAGGAGGGGGGAGGGAGAGGGAGAGTGACCTGCTAGAAAGGGGTGGAGCCTCACTCTCCAAGCCCTGCAGCCAAACCAAAAGACTGTGCTAAGATGTTAACACTAACTGGCTGTCTGGAGTGAGTGTTAAGAGCCTTGTTTTCTTGTAAGATGTAGTTGAAAACCCACCTCACAAGCACTATGGCTGTCAAATGAGCTTGTGGAAACTGAGAAATGTTACTCTGCTTATTTATGTGGAAACCATTTGACAAGGAATTCTGGGAGCCTGTTTATCGCAAGAGAAGGGTGCAATGATTGAAATAGAATTTTAACACAGACCCCATTTAAAAGAATTAAAAAATCAGCATTAAGGAAAAAAATCCTTAAAGCTGGGCACTGGTGGCTCATGTCTGTAATCCTAGCCACTCAGGAGACAGAGATCTAAGGATTGAGGTTGAAAGCCAGCCCAGGCAGGAAAGTCTGTAAGACTATCATCACCAATAAACTACGCAGAAAACGCAAGAAGTAGTGCTGTGGCTCAAGTGGTAGAGTGCCAGAGCCTTGAGCAAAAGAAATTCAGGGACAATGCCCAGGCCCTGAGTTCAAGCCCAATACCTGAAAACAACAACAACAATAACAACAACAATCCTTACAAAATCAGGAAAATATATCATTTCACATAAAGATGGGGTTTCAGATACCAAGAACTCCCTTATATATGTAATAAGATTCAGTTCACAAATTAACATTGTATCTATTTGTCCATCTTATGTTTCAACATAATAACCTTCACAAACGTGTGAATTGTGAAAAAACTGCAATTCCTC